GTGGAGGCAAAACTTCGGATAAGATAAGTTTTTAGTGTGTAAGTAATAAATGGTAAACAAAACTGTTCTTAATTTTTTTCTTATAAAAAATATACATTAATTAAAATAAAAAGTCAGTATTTCTCGTAAATATTTCATTTAAATATGAAGCAAAAGGCAGTTTTTGCAACTTATGTTTTTTAGTAGCCTACGAATAAAATTTGATTAAATTATTTATGAAAAATACCCACTAAAACGATTTTTATCTACACAAAGGCATGTTTCCATATTTTTTATTTGATTTATAAATTTTTAAATTTATCACGTTTTCCTATTAAACCCACTGGGCTTAATGTTTGTTGGCCACGACTCTACCCTTGAAAACGATTTTTGCTGCGGCGTTGCCACTTCGATCTTAAATAATTCATAAGTGTACATTTCCCATAATATAGTTGCTTAGTTCCTAACTATTTAATATATTATTAAAACGGCATTATTTACGTTAGGGTAAATTTGATAGAAAATTGTTATGGCAAATACTTGTTAAAATATTAAAAACAAAGTTTGTAATATTTGCCTTTATAATTATTTTTACTCATTAAATTTACTCATGTCCAATCTAATATAGTTTTCTTACTATAGGCACGTCCCCTTTTTCTCTGTGGCGGGAGAGAACTCCCGCAATTTTACAATTTCTTATTACACAATAATTACTAAAAATAAGGCAATAAAAACTAATAACTATACAATACAACCAGGTAAAATATATACAAAATAAAACATAAATATAAAATTTATCAGAAATCATCCAAGGTTAATTAACTTCTATTATTAAATTTGACTTTCGTTTAGCAACAGGTTTTATCGTGGCAAAAAAAATTGCAAATACTGTTTTCAATAAAATTTGTTTTTACTTTTAAAACATACTTAAGTAAAAGTAAACACTTACCGATTTAATATTAAATAAACATTCGGTTATTAGGCGGGTATCTTTAAGATTATTGACTATAATTGACTTTTGATTTGTTAAAAATATGTTTTTATTTTATATTTATATAAATATTAATGATTAGGTTGAGCAGAATACAGTCCCTAGTTTTAAAAATTCACTGGTTTAAAACAGTTTAAACAGTAAATAGTACTTAATTAAGATAATAAAACACATGGTATTATAATTATTTTTATTATTATTTATATATTATAATATATAAAACAAAAGGTACAAACCTACAAAGAAAACGAAATACAATAATTGTTAATTATTAATCTAGGAATGTAATTATAAAATAAAAATAGGTAACAAACGAATTAAAATTATTTGAAATTTGAAAGACGAAAAAAATTGTAACGCAAAGGAACATAAACATAACATTCTAATAAAAAATAAATGTGGCGCACAACTTAACTGTAGTTATCACTCACTCACTGGTGTGATCAAAGAAATAATGTGAAAAAATACAAAAATACAATAATTACACAGGCGACAAAATTTATCAAAATTATACCTACCATCCTAAATGTTTTTAATAAAAATAATAATTTTTTGATGTGCTAAATCCGAATCCAAATTGCTCTATTACGTTTTAAGAGACTCAAAAGTAGAAAAATGGTTACCTATTTGAAGTTATTTCACATTTAGAACATCTGAATTTAAGGAATTTTCGCACCCCTAGAAAAAAAAGCTACCTGATTCTGAGGTCAGATTCGGTTTCAGCGACCCGAAAATAAAATTTAATTATTTAAGTTAACGCGTTTTTTAAATAATTTTTATTGACATTTTCCTATCTTGGATACTACAATAATAGTATATTATGTATCAAGTTTGATAATCGCCATTTTATACACGAATTCAATTTAGGCACGAGCGAGTTTGCGAGCGAGTTCTTAAATTAATGAGTGTATAGAAAAGTTTATAAACGAGGTGCATACTATACTTTTTCTACGACAAATACTTACGAGTATATTCGTATATTATCTTAAAATTTTTATAGAGCGCCATCTATGAAACAACAGGGGAAACTGCCAAATGTCAAATTTTTACATTTTATAAACACAATTATAAAGGTTATAAATCGAAATGTACGAGGGTGGTCTGAAAAGTTTCCGACCTAAGAAAGAAACAAGACATTTTTTCTTCAAATTTATTTTTATTTTTCAACATAGTCTCCTTGTAAGTCTATACACTTCTCCCAGCGATGCTCCCATCTCTTCAACCGTCCAAATAGTAGTTGGCGTCTTTCTCTGCAAAGTAGTTGTTTACAAACGTTATGGCCTCCTCATTCGTTGAAAATCTTTGTCCTCCAAGCGCAACTTTTAGTCTAGGGAACAAAAAAAAGTCGCTTGGAGCTAGATCTGGTGAGTAAGGAGGGTGGTCAAGCAGTTCAAACCGCAATTCGTGAATTTTCGCCCTAACAACCGCTGAGGTGTGAGACGGCGCATTGTCTTGGTGAAACAAAATTTTTTTTCGCTGTAAATGTGGCCGTTTGTCCGCAATTTCTGCCTTCAGCTTATTAAGTAATGATGCGTAGTATGCACCAGTAATGGTTTTTCCTTTTTTAAGGTAATCAATTAAGACAATTCCATGACTATCCCAGAAAACAGTCGCCATCACTTTCCCGGCCGAAGGAACAGCCTTTGCCTTTTTTGGACCCGATTCCCCCTTCGCAGTCCACTGTTTTGACTGTATTTTGGTTTCTGGAGTATAATGGTGTATCCAAGTTTCATCTACTGTAATAAGTCGCCGCCAAAACTCTGTTTTATTGCACCTAAACTGCGCCAACAGACCGTTGGAAATGTCCATTCGAACACGTTTTTGCTCCGGAGTGAGCAAACGCGGCACCCAACGCGCGGAAAGCTTTCTCATTCCAAACTCTTTGTTTAATATATGACAAACTCGTTCTTTGGACATGTTCATAGCCTCTGCTATCTCTCTAACCTTAATTCGACGGTCGTCTAGTACCATTTGGTGAACTTGAGCGATGTTATCGTCAGTGGTTGCAGTTTTTGGCCGTCCGCAACGTTTATCGTCACCCAAGCTGGTACGGCCACGTTTAAATTCAGCTACCCAAAATTTCACGGTGGTAAATGATGGTGCAGAGTCCCCGTAAACAGCGTTCAACTCATCTTTAATTTGCCTAGGTGTTTTGCCTTTCAAAAATAAATGTTTAATGACAGATCGATACTCGATTTTTTCCATTTTCGCGAAAACACTCACATCGACTCAATCAAACAATTGGCCAACAACAACTGCGCATCCAAAATGGCTGAAATTTTGGTAGGTACCTATCAGAGCATGCGCAAACATATTCCCCAACTTTTGTTGACGAGTGCTGCCATCTTCATGTTAAGGTCGGAAACTTTTCAGACAACACTCGTATATTGAAAATTGACAGTTTTTCACAGTGAAAGTAAAGGAAATGTTTTATGAGGACTTTACAGTAGAGTTCGTGCCCGAATTTAAGTTATAGTTTACTGCCGGCGAAATTAAAAGGTCAGTACAATGTTCATATAAACTTTTCAAATATTGGCGTTGAGAAACTATTTAATATTTTTGTATTTTTGTATTGAGATAATAAAATAATTTTCACATTTAGTATTATTTTACAAGAAAGGCACTTTATTTTAACGATTGTATGGCATTTGACAACTAACTTAAAACTAACATCAGCCCGTGACTAAAAACCTGTTGCTAACTTCAGCCCGTGACTAAAGCGCCGTAAAGCCACAACTTGTCAATGTGTATTTAAAAGGTCACTTAGTGTCATGGAAACATGTACGATAAAGGGCGTTTTAAAGGTGGGAGTGGAAAAACAAATTTAAAAGTAAAGTAAATACGTTTTAAATAAATCTCTTGTTTCGGGATTCCTCTTGATGTTTGGCAACGTTGCGTTGCGAGTCGGTAACTAAACAAACGTGACCGCATGCCGATCGAAGCCCTGCGCTCTGCCGCTAGAGCCCGCAAACGAGGTCTGTCTGCCTGCTTGCTGCGTTCGTTGTTTGTCGTATCTATAGGTATAGTGGAATGCGTGCGTGCATGCACTCTCCCGCAGTTGTCGCCTCTTAGTTCATTTTCCTTGCACAAAAACCCGATCTTACGGCCATCCGTCTCTTGGAAACATCATCGCCATTTCTTCACGTCAACGGCCAAGAACAATACGCGAACCGGTTGACTCATGCCGCTGGAATTCCGTGTTTTGCGGCATACCTTCCGACAAGTGACTTGTGGATGGGCGTTGAAGTCGTCAAGAAATGAGGTTATGTTGGGGCAAAACAAATGAACCTAGAGTGCAGTGCTTGCTTCGGTAAAGTTTTACAGTGAGTGCAGCCCGTCCAAGGAACGATTTTTAACGTCTGTTGTTGCACAAGGTGCCGCGACAGGTGCATTCATTCCCTTATATTCCTTAGTACCTATTAGACCAGGGCTTTGTTTCGCCGTGTTGTGTTATTTAGCAGTGGTGGTTCGGTTTCGATGTGGGTGATTAAAATATGATGTAATCCAAATGCATTCCTCAAATTAACAAAACGTCCATGCATCGACACATCACGAATAAAAACGTTTTTAAATTCATCCAATTCGCTGACAACGATTTTTTGTTGCCTTTAATAGTTTTAACCATTGATTAATAACTGACTCCCTCACTCAACGGTTTTAACAATAAATGTCAGTACAACACATCCGCACTTGATTTAATTTTAATGGATTTAAATTTATTTTGTACAGTTTATGTACGACCTCGATTTTAATACAATCTGCATACAATACAACACCAACTACCTAACGGACAATAATAATTGTCGCAACTTGTAATGTGAGTAATGAACCCTTTCTCACCCTAAATTAGAAAAGTAAACGGTCTTATGGAGTTTTTATTTTATCCAGTTATTGCAAAACAATCGAACAGTAGACTTGTAGCAACTACCTACTTATTGAACTCGCAGCAAGCAGCAAGTTTTAAATTTAATAGCAAATCATAAGCCAAGAGAGCATAATATGAGTATAAATGTATGATTAAAATTCGAATATGTGGTCAAAACAAGCGGATACGCGTAACAAAAACATGACATCATTCAAAAACAAGATAACCAACAGGAAACGAAAAAACGGAAAGACCGGCTTAAAGGAGCCCGAAATCGAAACAACCGAAACCCCGATCAGCAAACCAGCAGATCAGACACCAAAAGTGGAAACAAGCAATAAATCCAACAGGAACAGACGAAACCGTACTAAATGTGACAACAGTGTCGAGGGTGGTGCTATAAAAACAACGGCGGACGAAAAAAAAGTGTCAAGTGATTCGCGTACGAAATGTGAACAAGATGACATCACCAAAAACAATTTTATTGAGAAAGACCTTGAAACGGCAGATGTGGTTCTGAGAAACGCAAACAATTTGGCGGACAAGAGGAGTACAAATACGAACACCCTCAAACGCTATAGTGATAGTTATGTGTTTGAACAAAACAGTGGCGCGATTTTTGAAAACGCGGTACCTGCCGACGAGGTGATTCCCAAGCTCACAAGAGCAGTTAGTGGTTTTCTTTATCTTGAATCCAGGAAGAACAGGTTCAGTGACCTGTTTAAAAGTGGAGCGATGAAACTCTCAGCCAGCACTGAGAACCTAAAGAATTGCGTCAAAAATGAAGCCAAATGCAATAAGAAAACCACCGGCGACATTCAAAATGACGCGTGCAAAACGCAAACAAAGCAGAACAACAAAAGTAACTGCGGCAATAAAAACAATAAAACCAAAAAGACTGAAGTTACGTCTTCCACGAACGTATCGAGAAACAATAGCCAGCGAATGGCTAACGTGAAAAAGGAAAAAGAAAAGCCGGTTATACCGACTAATACTGACTCTTATCTAAAACGTGTCAAATCTAAAATTTATCAAAAGACCAAATCGGACGATACAAACAAAATCGTCATCGAATCAAAATGCAAAAAACTGAAACCGAAGAAGAGCATGGAGATATCCGGAAGAATTCCTGAGGACGAGGAGGCGGTGATGTCGCCGCCTGGAGTGCGAAAATCTCTGACCCATTTCGATTTTAGATTGATGAGACAAACCTCCAACTTGGAGCGCAGACGATCGAAAGATGACAAGGAGGAGAGCAACTCCAGTGTGCCGCCGTCTCCAAAACCGCTTCACTTCTTCGGCAAGGCAAAATCAAGCAGCGCGATTAACTTAAACCTGTTACGAAACAGGAAAAACAAAAATGTGGACAACAATTGTACGGACGTGCAAAGCGAATTCGATTTTATTGCGTTCGGCGGCGTGAACGGTTTGCTGGCGCGGCAAAGGCTCTTCGGGTCACAGACCCACATCACTACCAGCACAAACAATAACAAAACTCCCAGTTGGTTGTATTGCTGCGAGTCGAAAAATCCAAAACCGAGTCAAGATGCCGTCGATGCTGCAGGTAACTTCCACAACCATAGATTTACTCTATTTTTAACCGCAAGGTTTCCGGTTCAAATATAACTACGCGACTCAGAAGTTGATCTTTTTGAAAACCAGCCTTTTAAATTAACTACGAATTATGATAATTTAATCAAAAATCTAGTTTTGTATTACGGTTTATGTAATATAAATATTACATTATTATAAATTTACATAATCGGCATTGTCAACATTAGGTCAGGGTTAAAAATATTTAAAGCAAAATTTATTATTAATGATAACGATTATGCTTTAAACAAATTAGTTATTTAATCTTAAAAACTTAAAAGACTAAAAAATCATAAATGTTAACAAACTCTTAAACAATTATCTTATAAACCATTTGTTTTTATTAAACATTTGATTTGATTTGATTTGATAGTGGATAGTTTAAAATTCATTGTCGTTACTAGGTGAACCGGTAGTATGTAAATAATAATTTTTATAATATAATTTATCCCATGACTAAGTTGCAAAACCCACATATAAAAAGAATTACAATAAATCGTATGGGTTAAAACTACCCATTAGTTACACGTGTTTTTACATATACGCAAAGGTTAATATTCTTAAAGCCATAAGTAGTATTTTAACCGTGCTAACCACTACACCAAACAAATTATAATATTTCGAAAGAATGCTAATTGTCACAATAAACACGACTTAAATGTATTGCCTTGTCAATTGTAGACCTATATGTTTATTTAAAATTTATTTAAACAATTTGCAACCTCGCGCTCGACACAGTTTTTTATCATTTCAGAACTCGCGATCATTAAATTTATAGCTGACACCGGTGGTCACGTGTACCTTGAAAATCCGGTGCAAAATTGTAAAGTAGGTTGGTTTCGGGTTTCGAATCCTTTGCACTCGGCAGACTCAAGGCAATTGAACAATACTGCAACTTAATGCAAATTATGCAGAATACGTTTTGAGAACTAAACTACTTCTTTGTAAAACAATGCATTTCCTAATAATCTTATTTTATTGTTTAGAACGTAATAATCGGTAATAGAAATAATTTTAGCTATCCAACTACAGTGAGTTTCCTCTTTAAAATTAACGATGTTAAATGGCATAATAACAAATAATTTTATTTTGTGTTCATTTAATGTAAACCAGAAAAACACAAATTAGTTATTTTGCAAATTGCACAAAAAATACGTAATCAAATTAGCTCTTTATGCGATCAATAATTATTATTATATGGTATCGATAATTAGATCGAATCGTTTAAATTAGATATTAAACACAATTTGTTTTATCCGAAATAAATATTATAGTCGGATATTATAAAACTTATTACAAATGTAATTTTTAAAACAATTAATTAAGGTTCAATTAAAATAGTTTTGTAAATATTTTATCTAACTGTTGGTTGGCAATTAATTTTATGAATCAGCAACTATTATAATATTATTGAACATTTCTAATGCTAGATATCATATCCGATTAATTTAGTAATAATTGTTTTAATTTCTTTTCAATATTTCTTATAAACATATTTAGTAATTCTACTTTTATAAACTGAGCAATGCTACTCCGACCACACAATATCCGTGCCGATGATATAAAATATTTTCTAAGAAGATTGCGTATATCCGCTACATCGGTTTATGCCTTTTTAATGGTGAAAAAGACACTTACTTTACCGAATGGCCCTACAAAATTTACTTATTTATTATAGCCACAGACATTTTCTATGGGTAACTTTGTTTAAGGCAAAGCTTTATTATCTTCTAAAATAGTTCTTAATACTTCCTTGATTGGAATAAGTGTCGCAAGGAGGTGTTCTGTAGCCAAATAGGAAGTGATAAATTAAAACCATCACAAAATTAAATGGTTAAACGCATTTTTTCAGAATCTATCATTCTGAATAAACTATTTTTTTAAGTAAGGTTGTTAAAACTGTATATTAAATTAACTATTAATAACTAAAATATTTTTTTAAACAAAAATCATATTTTTTATCATAATAATAATTATTATTTTAATCGATAAAAAAATAATCATAAAATTCCAAAATATAAAAAACTTTATCGAAACTACTATATCGATTATTCTATTATTCAACACTCATTTCATTTTTTAACCGGGCGAAATCTTATTTCGCCCACGGGCTGAGGTAAGCTTTGAGTTAAAATTAAAAAAAGTAAGGTTAAAGTTACTTGAAAAATTATTTAATTTTGACATTTGACAAAAAGTATAATAACCTTCTTTTTAAAATGTTTTGGTGTCAAAAGGATTTTATCATGTCGGAAGAACAGATAAATCATTGCATTGCATTTAATAAAGCATTAGGTATAATATTTCCAATTACTACATTTTATGTAGTATAAAAAGTATAAAATATTCTGTTATCATATTCTATTTTGTAAATATGTAGCTGTCATATTAAGGCTTCCTTTCTAATACTGCCCTCTAAACAAAACTGTCCTTTCCCAAATAGTAGGAAATTAAATTGTTTTTTTTTGCAATATAGGTAATTGCAATTTTAATAATAAATTCTATTTTTTTCTTGTTGTAGGAGATTCAAACAAAACCGGACAGCCGGTTTCTCGTAGCGGTTCCGACCGGCGGCCGGACGCCGTTCGAGAGGAGCGTCACCAGTTGGAGGGGGCCGCAGGACCGGGGGATCCCATGAACGACTCGCTAATCGCGGGAAAAGAAGATTGGGTCGTGATGCCCGACAGGTAAGTTTTGTTTTTTCTCTCTTTTTTCTTTTCACAATCTCCTTTGTCTGTATAAGGACGGTGTAATGGAATAAGGGGGCAAGATAATGCCCGGCCTTAGAAGGGATGGTTCAATTCAATTCAATTATGATGATGAGGTTTATGTATTTATTATAAAAGCAGTTACCCTCGATATTAATCTTAAGGTGTTAATCTTGATATATTAAGTGTATATATTAAAAATGTACTCATATCCATTGCATAGTTAATATTTTTCTTTAGGTTGATCTATTTTTCAATCTACTGTTTTATAAAATGTATAATTTTGCCAGAGCTGGTGATTTTGAGGGTGGTTAAGTGGTTTGTTGGGGCAAACGGCAATTTTTACTTGTTTAGGAATCTGAATTTAAAGGGGAAGTATTGAGCCCGGTGCACCGCGGTGGTGATTGAAAAAATGTATGTAATATACGATATAAACCATCTTGTAAAAATTTGGTGCAGAGAACACCTCCTTTTGCAGGGTTGCCACTCATCTGGAAACCTGGAAATGTCAAGGAATTTAATTTTTTTAGAAATGTCAGGTAGTTAGAAAAAAATCTACAAAGTCAGGGAATTCCTAAGTCGGTCATGGAATTGGTTATTTATAAATAAAACTGGTCAACAAAATTTTCATTAAAAAAAATGTTAACGAGTATAATTTAAATTTAATTTATTCAAAATATGGCAGCGCTATATGTCAAACTTATCACTATAACCTTCTAAGACTATAACCAACTATTTTTATGTTTAGGGCGATTAATATTTGTTTATTTTGTAAATGGTAAGCATAATTAATAAACTAAAGTAAAAGCATAATTAATAAATTAATTAATTAATCAGTCAAGCAGTCATAGGCCACATAAAAGTGCTGGCCATTAAAAAAGGATTACGGCAACACAAATTTGTCAAATTTTCTTAAAAAAAGAACCAGATGGAAAATACTACTCTCTAAAAATGAATTAATGACTAATTGTCATAGCGAAAAAGCAGGCACTAATAATTCTAGTCAACAGCAATTTGTGTCCCGGATATTTAGCAGTCAATTCCTATGTAAAATTGTCTGCTGAATCCGAATATGTCGTCAAAAGTTATAAAAGTAGGATAGTTTTTAAGATTTAGTCAATTTTCCTTATAATACAGAATTGACTATATCTCAAAAACTGCTATGACGGTCTTTTCGGATTCAGGGGACAATTTTACATGAGAATTGGCTGTTAAATGTTCGGAATACAAATTGCTATGGACTACAGTTATTAGTGACTGCAATGAATTAATCAAAAATGACACATTTCAAAGTCAAAAAACATGCTTTTTCACTTTGAAATATGTAATTTTTGACTAATTCTTTTTTAGAGAGTATGCTTAAAAAATTTACAGTTTTACAGGATAATAATATTAATAAAAATATTGCCTTATGAAATAACCAGAGTAAATCAATTTCTTCAATAACAACTCCTGCAAAAAATGATAGAAATAAAATCTTTTTTTGTACTATCAAATATTTACTGATAAGAACTCATCAACTTGATAAACAAGCCCTTCCGCAGACAAAATTTCAGAGGCATTTTTAAAAATTTCATTATTTCTGTTATTTTCAGATTGAACAGAAAATTAATTTAATAAAAACCCGAGAAACAAAAACCTAAATTAAAAATTATTCCGAAAAAATAACCTACAGAAATTTTTTTTTAAGAAGTATTTATTTTTTTTATAAGAAGTATTGATTTTTTGTTAATGTTTTTGAATTTTATAAACTTCAATAAAAGTTTAGTTTTTTTGCTTGATTGCTTTGATTTTTAAAATTAAAAATTACAAAAATACTGCTTACGTAATACTTGAATGGCCCCATACTTAAAATTTTAAAAACCAACACTCAAAGTCCAGTTGAAAAAATCATTGAGGGTCAAAAAACCAAAAAGAAAACTGCTAGCGTCGACACATTTTGTCTGGAAAAAAATCAGGGAAGGTCAGGGAATTCCTGGAAAAGTCAGACAAAAGTAGACAAATCGGTGGCAACCCTGTTATGCCTTAATTACAGGTAGACAAGAAGAGATCATTTGCAGAGTTAAGTTGACGAAGATGATTAGTAATGTTATGAGAAAACAAAAAATATTACCTAAATGATGGTGTTTACTAAGATCGGGCTCTGCATAACTGCATTCCCTGGACTGGACCTAGGTGAAAACTCTGTGGTGGTAATAGGCTTGAAAACGCACATGAACTATTGAAAAGTTTCGGTAGGGTGGTAGAGAAAAATCTACAAACTAACTATTTTGACATGGAGGTAGTTTTGGGGACGTACTTCATACCTTTAGGCTAAAAAATATCCAAAAAAGAACTTCTTGGACCAATCTTTTAGAATTGTTTAAAAAATTGAAAAAGAAGTGCTTTAATTTTGTCAATCATTTTACAAAATGCTTTAAAACCGATAAATTAAAGATATATTAAGTTTTCTCTAACATTTTGTTATTTAGATCGTTATAATTTAACTTAGTACTAATACTTTATAATTTGTTACAACATAATTACAATAAAATTTATACTAAACTAAACAAAAAACGTGTAATTACATTAATATTATACAGCAGTCTATATTTATAGGTTCAAGTAATATTATTTTTTTTTAATACAAACAGTTAGTTTAAACAAATTAAAATTAACATTTTTATTAAATATTTTCAAGGTTTAAAAAATTGATTTCATGAATCGTTTTTCTGCAATTATTATTTGAATCATGCATTTTTTCGAATTGTTTGTGTGAATTGTTTCATAAAATAATAAACCTATAAATATAACTCAAAGAGCAGGCTTTCCGAATAAAATATTTTAAGAATATTTCGTCTGCTTTATAAACAAATATTAATAAAAGCAAATATAGCAACAAGTGTCAGCTACTGACCTTATTTAATTTTATCTTATGCAATCGAATGAGAATGTTATCACGCATCGAGTTCTAATTTTAATATTTAAGTGCCTTAATTAATTTTGTGTCGCCGAGTTAGGGGAATTAATTATAGTCAAGTACGTTATATGGGCTATTAGGGTGTCTAAAAAGAACAAGTCTTAGGATAGTTCATATAGAATTTACTTTTTTTTACCCAGAGAATGAACTCGAAAGAAGTTAAATCGGAGATTCCTGGATGCCAATCCTGAGATCGTCTCGGAAGAATTTCATGTTTTTTTTTCAGTTCAAAAATCAAGTTCTTATTGGTCGCCCTTTATAAAAATTAAATAACTTTTTTTTAAATTTTAGTTGTTTCAATTAAAATAAGATATGGTGCTATTGTGCCTAATGTACTATTAATTTCAATAAATTTATAAAAAATATTAAACTGTAAAGTAAAAAGACACCTTGTTATTATTTTAAAACTAAAAATAAATCTTAAAGTTTAAGATTGTATGAGTTAAACCAGTCGTATTTTTTGTAATTATGTCGGGATTTCATTTGTATCTCTTAAAGCGCTAAACATTCTCGTTGCAACATTACACAAAACAAAAGCCGCTAAGGTCTGTTTACAAATAAATAGAATAAAACTATTTTATGTCGCAATCTCCTTTGTGCGCCTTATCTCTCTTTGGGGGCTTATTTTATACGAGCGCGAGAGATAACGGCGGAATGTTGAGCGTATTAATTTTCCTGGAGCCTTGCGTGGCAAAATTCCAAAACTGCGATTGCAAAATAACGATAACGACTAGGACTGCAAATGTATCAAACTTTGCTGGAAGCTACACTATATTTGATCAATTAGATAGGGGCCATTGTTGCCACATTTACTTACACACAAAATGATTTGATGATTGATGATTTTTCAAAATAACTTGAAAACGTAAAATATTTTATTAAAAAAGGAAGTTTTTGTTTAAACCCCACAAGCAAGAAATTGTGCTTTTTAAAAATTGCATTTCCTAACAAATCCACAAAGTGTCTTTATTATTACTTTAAGTGGCCTAATAGTGAACTTTCTGAACTCCCTTAATATCATAACAATGTTGTATGTTATATAAAGGTATATTTTAACCTACTTTTAAGCTTTTTACTTATATTTTGTATTCATTGATGATGGTAACAAACTTAATAACACAAAAATCTGAAAATCATTCAAATATATTTGAAACAAGTATGAATCAAGATCGCTTAACAAATCTAATAATTTTCAGTTTGTAAATTGTTATTTTTTTAAATTTTAAAACTGCAAAATATACAATTGTACATCTTTATAATTTTAAAAATTAAGAAATGCATTACATTATTAATAGTGCTTATTTAAAAATAATAGTACCTATATCTTGGATTTGTAACTTTTTGCTCATTACTCTGGCCTGCAACGAAATCTTCCTTCAAAAAGTTACATCATAAATATGAAGATTTTAATGCTCTGAATTGGCCGATTTTTTCTGTCCCATCTAGATTTTGTGATATACTTTTTTTTTTAAATATCATAAATTTAGGATTTTTTAAATTTGTTGTGTGCGTAAACATTATAAACAGTGTATGTATATCGATGACTTCCTGCCAAAGTATCGCAAGCTACATAACTCAAATTTTGCGAATTAAAAACATTTTTTGTTTTAAAGTCTTTTTAAACCATATATAACATATATGTTTTATAACAAGTAAATAGCTATAATTATAAGCTAAGTAATTACTTAAAATCTTTAGGCTATATTTAATTTAAAACAGACAAGCAAAATGTTTTCAATTCCCGAAATTTGGGTTATGTTGCTTGCGATACTTAGGCAAAAAGTCATCGATATGTTATTCGAAATAGACGAAATCGTCGACTGCCCGCACCAAATATAATGTTATCATGTATGAAAACAATGAGGAGATAAAAGTATTTTTTTGCAGACCAGTGTTATTTATCCAGGATGTAATGCTACTTTTACGGAGGAGTATGGCTAATTTTAGGCCATTACGCGTTATATTTAAAGCACCGGATCGTAAAGTTTTTAATGTTTTGAAAAATAGCTAAGCTAATTCC